GGATTCGAACCCGCGACCCTCAGCTTGTGAGTCGAGCGCCTTATCCACCTGGCCATGCCGGGCACTTAACGGTTCTAACCACCAGAAGTGACACAACCAAAACTACTTTTCTGATATCGTCCTGTTTACCAATACAATTTTACTTTCATAAAAAGAACGTTTGTTTGTCGTTAGTCACAAAGGTACACAATGGGTTGTCTGTGATGTGCCCACCACAGGTATCGAAGGCGCACCAGGTGTTTGGTAAACAAGCGAGGACTAAAATACACAGAGATTGGCACGAGCAACGTTACAGTCTCACGAACACAACTGGTTATCTGGCATGGAGCTACAAGTGTTTTTAAGTGTCACAAGTTTAATACTGACATCAGTAGCAGTTTTGTTTGGAGGTGACACGACGAGTGAAATAATTAGTACAATTATTAGCAAGAAAACTCTACCCTCTGCTAGCTCATCAGAGAAACAGATAAAGTTATCAACTGATCTTACATCTGCACCATCACGGAGTCATCACGTGGTTCGGACTAGACCAGCAACAGCTAAAACAGAGACAGTGACCAACAGGAAACTCACGACATCAGTAGTCAACACCACAAACTCTCAACAACGATGGGTTGACGTAGAGAACACAGTTAAAGATGCGATTAATACCATCATGAAACACTTGTTACCGAGCATGTTACGGATTACGTCTAAAGTCCATATTTCAAGTCCATGTCTTTCACGTTTGTTGAAAATGGTGATCAGCGTTCGACAACTCAAATCTTGGGCAATAAGAAGTGAGTACCATTACATAGGAATAGACAGATTAATAATACGACAGACAGGTAGATGAGTACTACAATACATATAGAAACTAGAGGACAATAAGAGACTGACACTAAATCAGACATCTGGAGGAATACCCAGAAAGATGGACAGATGGGGTGAGAAACAGATACATACCTGCGGATTAGAGACTGACACTAAATCAGACATCTGGAGGAATACCCAGAAAGATGGACAGATGGGGTGAGAAACAGATACATACCTGCGGATTAGAGACTGACACTAAATCAGACATCTAGAGGAATACCAGAAGATAGGACAGAATGAGCTAGCTAGTACGTAGATACCGCTTGGCTACAGACAGGATTACTTAATGATCATATATAGCT